TGACTTCTGCCCAGAGCCACGGCCACGCGCAGCTGCCGCGGATGCCTCGCACATGTACACACTCCACGCATCAGGCTCAGCCCAGCACTGTCCCCTCGCTGAAGAAGGTCCCGAATGGCAACAGGGCGTCGCCGACGTCACTAACGTGGATTCATTACTCTCTCAGGCCATATAATCTCCTCCACTCGGTATAGGCTTTAGGGATCTTCCCAGAACCTTCTCTGAGTCTTCAGCTGCTGCAGAAGAAGGACGAGCATTTCTGCCCACCACATCACTCCCCTGACTGTCCACCCACCTGCTGGGCTGGCTCCGCAGCACTCCAGGTCCAGGTGACACTGGCCCCTGCGCTTCTCTGGAGCAGCCCCTTGCCAACGACTAAACAAACGTGCACGGAAGCCCAGCCCCACTGGACAGAGAGCGGGGGGTTGTGGAAACAGGACCAGCAGGTGCATTCTCCGACGGCCGTGGCAGATGCCACCAGCAGCCCCCACCCTCACTCCTGCCATGCTCCGAGGCTCCAACCGTGCACGCAGGCCTCACGGCGAACATCTTCAGAAGGCTGAGAAGTCACGACTTTGAACAGGCCACGGTCATCCAGTGAGCGCATGGCAAAGGCGGTCAGGGTGATTTTCATTCAGCAAGTCCCGGCTCGCGTTTCCGGAATTAAATTATGTTTTAAGCTAATCTTGTAGTATCTCAAAATAGCTTCACTGAAAATGATAAAATAGCTCACGTATAAATGACCTCACGTCCTGCTATTACTAACACTCCACATCTGGCTGCAGTAACAGGCCTGATCTGAAAAAGAGACACGGGAGTCGGGAGCGCCAACGAGCCGGGCGTGAAGGCCTGATCGCGCACAGGCGGCTCCGGGTCTGACTGAGCCCCCCCAAGTGCCGGGGGCCTGCGCCCCCGGATGACCCATGTGCTTAGGAAGAGGCAGGCATCTCTGGCCCGGAGAGCTTTCCCCACTGACAGGCGCTGGGCCTGGCTCCCCGTGAGCTCTGGATGGGGTCCAAACCCCGCCTTCACCCGCAGCATGGCACAGAGGGAGATTATCGGGTCTCCACACAAAGCCAGGGACGATGGCATTTAATTCTGGAGGTAAAGTAAGTCTCATTGGAGGCTGTTGGCAGGAGCACATTTCTACAGTAATTACAATTTTTATGACAATGTATTTCATCATCATTAATTTCAAAGTCACTTATTTCAGTGGGTGGACGGCGGGCCGACTCTGGGAGGCATCAGGGAGACGACACAGACTCGCCTGACCCATTCACCGTGCTTCTCAGGGGGAGCTGCGTTCATGTCCCGGCTGTCATGTGCTTTGGCCAATATGGTTTCAATGTCTTACTGTTCACTGTGCAGCTCCTGAAACACAGTAGCCACTCACAGAACAACTGCTGAATGAGTGAAGGAGCAGTTATTTCCTCCAGGGCAGGGATTATGTCAAAACAGTTGGTGATTGATACAGATGAACGAATGCTTGAGCGCAGTGATGGGTGAATGTTGGGTGCTAGCAACGGGCTAGCAAGGACGTCAGCTTGTACGTGAGCCTGGATTGTTCTGATATGAGAACCGGGGCAGTGAAGAACCATGAGTATGTGCAGGCTGGAGAGTGACAGCCCGTACGCTGTGTTCACACATGAACTAAAGCCAGTTTCTGTTTCCCAATTCTGTCTGGTAAGGAAAACATCACCAGAAGACATTCAGACTGTTTATGTCCTGAAGCAAGCACTTCTGAGTAAAGTGTGGAGTGAGTAGGATGAAGAATTCTAGAATATGTGAAATGATGAATGTGGCCGTCAGGCAGTTTTCACTCGATGAACTATGAGCTGACTGTGGCTCATAGTCCTCCAGGCTCACTTCCAAAGCCCTGCTTGGCCTCCTTCCACTCTCATGTGCATGTGTGTCAGCAGGTAGACTCAGGGCATCTGCAATGTGCTGGTGCTGTTTTAACCAAGAGCCACATCTGCCCCAACTAGCTACTTCTGTGACTTAATGGAGGCTACTTAGTGAGTGAAGGCCTAACTCGGTGCTCCCTGGTGGACACCATCACTGCATATAAACCAAATTGTTCCAGGCGGAAGAGATGCTTATTATAAAGATGATTGGCCATTAATTTTACTGAGTTGTAGCTATGGGGACAACAGGAGCTGCAGAAGCCATGTCACATGAGAACAAAGGGAAAGGAAAATCATTATGTGAATAAGCACAGCACACATGGGAAGATGCAGGATCAAGGAACACAGAGAACGTGCTGGCAATCTCACCAGCAAGTGTGTGTGTGGGTGGGGGGGTGGTTATCAAAGACGAGGGAGCGAGAATATAAGCACAAAAGAAAGGCATGTAGGAATTCACCTCATCAAAAGGGAGCTATCACTGAGTCTGACAATGATGTGAGGGTGTCCCCAGTCACGACCCTAACTTTGAACTTCTTGAAATTGTTACTCTTCTTCCAAGCATTTTGGGGGGAGTAGCATGAGTGCCAGTGTTTACTGATGTTTGCCTGGGAAAACAGTTTGACCTCAACAGGAAGAAGGCTGGATTGTGCAGTCACGGGGGAGAACTGAACCACGTGCCACCATATGTCTAATTTATTTCTATAATTGAAAGGTACCTAGTGCCCTGTATATGAACACTGAGGCACCAGCTCCTGCAGCCCACCCCAGTCTTAGGTTTGGGTATAATCTGGCTCATCCATGGACTTGGTCCTCCAAGTGTTTGCTACTTTAGTTGATCAATGATGTTGCTAATGTGTCTGCAGGCTCCATGGTGGAGGGGAGTCATCTGCGTGCAGTTCTAGCTGCTGTACTTGTGCTCATGAGCCACCCGGGTGCTGGGGTCGTCTGTAGACTCTGCCGTAGCGTTCATTCTAAGTATCCTGGGAGACACCCAGATCAGCACTCAGTGCAGACGTTAGGAAGAGGGTGGATCCTACTGTCCTGCTCCATGATAAATAAGAAACAGACACTCTAGAATAAAGGAAGGAAACCTTGGGAGGCAGTAGAACTAGGAGCTGCCCAACCCCATCTGAGCTCAGGAGGGCAAGTCTCCTTTCAAGCACTGATGGGGAACAGAGGAGTGTGTTACAACTTCTAGGGCGGTCACGTGAATGCTGAATCCCAAGAATACAGATATTGTGCACACAGGAAACAAAAAGAGAAAGCCTATTTTGACAAAGGCTCATAATTAGAGAAAATAAGTAGTGGCGGGCTTTGAAAAGGATACTGAATCTCTCAACAAATTCAGAAAAAAATAGCAGAACATAGGAAACCCACAGAAGTTATAAATGTGACTTCGCCATCCATTCTCACACAATGAAAGCATCAGCTTCTCTCGAGTCAATCAGCAGCTGAATTATCAAAAAAAAAAAAAAAGTATCAAACAAGGACTCTAAACTACGGCCTTTTTAAAATGATCCATCTGGTGTCCTGTGAGTTCTGAGAAATCCAGAGATTTCAAAGCCATTGATTTCATGGTATTATCAAAAAGTGATTTTCTTTTCGTGATGTGTTTCCTATTTTTCCTTTACTGCTAAGCAAATCCCACAGATATTGTGCAGAATCAGGAGTTCAGTTCTTCTCAGGTTTGCTTCTCTACATAAAGCCTTGTTCGCACACAGAAGGACGCCTATGCCTTTTTCTGTAGCTTACAAGTCCTCTAAATGCTGCTATTTCAAGCTAAATCATCTTTCTTTCCTTTGCCTGTTCTCATACATTTGGCTTTCAGGATTGAAAGGAACACATTTTCAGTGATGTGGGCTTCTTCTGTAAAAATAAGTACACACACATGTTCTTGAGGGCCAGGCTAGAGACAGGAAACCAACACAAACCTCTCATGGCTAAAGGTTGTCTCAGGGCGTAACCTTGCATGCTAACAAGCTTCTGCTGGTGATTTTAAATAAAGGAAGAGGGGCTGACTCTGTCCCCCAAGAAGATAGGTTCAATTTCTAAATCCTCATACCTGGGAATGACCTTATATGGAACTAAGGTTTTGCAGCTCATGATCAAATGAGACCAGACTATCTGAAGATCCTAAATCCACTTACTAGCTGTAGAGAGAAGCTGGGGGCATTTGGGCATAGAGTCGGGATATGGGGACAGAGACTCGAGCGATGCACCTTTATCCAAGAAACACCAAGGACTGCAGGGTCCCAAGAAGCTTGGGACAAGGAGGATTCTTCTTTAGGGCTGACAGAGGGAGCATGGCCTGGCAGCCACCGTGATTCTAGACTTCTGGCCTCCAGATCTGTGATACGAGAGATCTGTCTTATAGACTCCATGAAGTGGTGGTGATTCCTGGCGGCAGGCAGCACGGTCCAGTCACACAAGGTCCAGCTTTGGCTAATGATCTCAGATTCCACACTTTGTTTCTGGCCTATGCAGGCGGCTGTTTATCTATGAGGACCCATTTATTTGTGTGTAAAATTTTGAAAACCTATGTGAAATAATGAAGGTGACAAGCCGGGTGCATAATAGAAATTAGTTAAGAAATGAGATGATTTGTATTAATAAAGGGATAAAAGCCAATCCATCACCCTTACTCCTACATCTCAGTATGTTTTCTAAAAAAAATTTAAAATAAAAAAAAATTGTTAGAGATAAATTCTGTAGGAAAACCCTCATTCTAAAATAAGCATGTCGTGAGCACCAGCGTCACGGTCTAGGCTAGCAGTGACAACGGCAGCAACTAAGCACGATGATCACTGCACACAAATGTAGAAGACACTTATCCCACCAGACAGAAACAAGAGGAGATTCCATGTAAACCACATGTCCTTGTTGCATGCCTCGTTGGCTAAACATCAATTATCAAATTGTTGTACATGGGACTGACGCCGTCACCCACGACCTTAGTCTCCAGTGACCTTGTAATTCCAGGCATGATGTCTCGGTGACATGCCGCGCCTTTTCTCCATCCCCGAATCACCTGTTGTGAAATATTAAGGACGCGGCCTGCAAGTCTCCCACGGTCACAGGCGGACGCGCGGGACTCACCAGCACGAGCAGCAGGACGACGTCCGGGTTGTCACAGGCGCAGGCGACATGCATCGGCGTCCAGAAGTCCTCATCCTGGTGGTTGACGTTGGCGCCTCTGTCGATCAGCACCTCGGCGATGAAGGCGTTGTCATAGCGCGCGCACTGAAAGACAGGAGGGACGCTCTAGCAGCACAGGCGAGGAGCTTCTACCCCCAAGTCCCGTGGCAAGACCCTTCCGGGGGATGGATGACCGCAGAAAGGGGGGGCTGTGGGGTGAGGGTCGACTTGGACTTCGAGTGGTGAATTTAATGTAGTCCAGACACCTGTTGATCTCTAAGAATAATACTAAATTGGAAGCATTTATAATAATACTTAAAGAAATACAAAGAAAACATAAATGCCAATGTGGAAGTTGGTGGACTAGACTAAGGATGGGCTCATGTTTCCCCACGACCCTACAGCAAAAGGACGCATGGAAAACTTAAGGGAAATCGATTTTGTGCACGATAGAAAGAAAAATAAGAAAACAGAGGTAGACATCACTGAGGGGAGAAAACATTTCAGCATTTGGGCCTCTTCTTTCACAGACAGGGTTATTAGAACATCTCAGAACACTTGCCAGACCTATCTTTCTAAGACACAGGCTTGAGCATAGGATCCCTCCGCTTTAAACACGCATGGTTTGTCATTGACAAAAGAATAAGGTTGTCGCCGTTCTACTGCATGCAAGAGAGACAAGATCTTTCAGTCTTTCAGCTTCTACCTTCATCATGCTACGTGGCTTTCAGGTGCTGGAGCAAGAGAGCAGGCAACCCGCCACACGCCACTGTGTGGAAGTCAACGCCTGGGATTCAGGAATCACCACGTAGAGTGTGATGATCACACGAGACTGTATTTTACAGTCTGTAAACAACTAAAGGGAACTCGTCAGGGCTTGCTCTGAGCTGGGGCCTATCTGCCGCTCACAGACCCACATGCCGGCTGGCCGGTCCCAGGACGGTCAGCTCCACGGCCTTGGGACTTGGGGGCACATCCTCATTTCACCTCGGGCCCTGCAAAGCACCCAGCCCCGGTGTGTCCTTTTCGTGTGCACATCGATACACTTCAGTGTCGAGTGCACATCAGTAGAATCAGTTTTAAAGAGACCTGGCACGGTGGCAGCAATGTGAGGACTCAGACTTGCCTCGTCCAAATGCTCAAGACTAGATGCGACAGAACAAAGGCGAAGACGGCGGGTTGCCCAGCACGTGAGAAACGACTGTCAGCGGGAAGGGGCAGGAAACGTTAGGTGAACTGTGTTCACACGGATACGGAGGCGGCGCAGCTCTCAGGAGGGAGGGGTGGCTGTCGGGCACAGCCCTTGCACTTGCTGACTTGGGGGCACACACCAACATCGCCGCCGCGGCTCGGCCTGGAGAAGGGGGTGTGAGTTGGAGCCCAGGACGGAGGGTGCACTGTGGAGAGCTCAGGAGCAGGGTGCAGAGCAAGCGGCAGGGGCTGAGGTGGAGGCTCCCGATACAGGACGGCTGAAGCCTGCACGTGTGTGGGGGGGGCGTGAGTATGTGTGTGTGTGTGTAGTGGGTGTAGCTTGGATCACCGGTGCTTTCTCATAGAACATCCTACTCCCAGGAGCCAAGGCAAAATACCTGCCACCCCAGCCGTAGGACTAACACAAAAACAACAAGTCAATCTTGCAGAAACCAGAGTTCAAGCACCTGCTAATAACAGATGCAAACGCCCCAGGCGAAGAGTCTGTGCTAAAAAGTGAAAGAGAACAGCAGCCGCTGTGCCCCTGTCTTGGCTACAGTCCGTGCCCAGCACTACACCTAGTGCTCACAGAGACCCTGGAGGAGTAGACACGGACAGCAGGAGACACAGCAGCAGAGCTGACCTGGAGGGGGGAGTCACTGTGGACGCCACCACGCGGCCCTGGCACCCACACCACAGAAGGAAACATGGGTCCCTATTGCTCACTGGCGGTGGCCTACTGCCCAATCCTTTATTACCAACTACCCCTGGCCACACCGGTTCTCTGACCACTTCCCCGGGAGGGAAGGCAGCAGTCTGGACATCTCCCCCTGCCCGGCCCATCCAGTGCTGGAAAGACAAGAACAGAAATCTCAAGAACATCTCAACCCAGCAGAACTGGGAGCGCTGCCTGAAGAGGAATACAGGGGGGCCTCCCTAGTGGTGCAAGAGGTGAAAGTGTGACCTGTGAGACTCTGCAGCCGCTGCAGCAAGAGTGTGATCCCTGGCCAGGGAGCAACCCACATGGAGCAGCAGACCTCTCCTGACTCCCCGCTGCTCCCCTCAGCAGCATATTTCAATCCATCTGCCTGTTCTGCTCCCCACTCTGTCTCTGGTGGATTCTCTCATCCCCCGCACCTCTGGCCTACACCCCAGTTCTTGTGTGCATAAATAAATACATCTTGAAAGAAAAAAAGGAATACAGGCAACAGCTGTAACGATTCTTTTGGAACTGAAAAAAAAAAAAAAAAACCCTAAAAAAATTAAAACCAACGCGACGAAATAAAGAAAACATGAAGCAGCTGCAATTAGAAGTATCGGAGCTAAGACACGCTATAGCCAGATTGAAAAATACAATTGAGACCACAACAGCAGACACACAGACGCACTGGGGAGAACCAGTGAGCTCAAAGAACACACAAATAGAACGGCATGGAGAAAAAAATAATCGCAATAAGCCGCGTGAGAGCCCTTGGTGACAATCTACAGAGAAGTAACATGTGACTCACGAGGACACCAGCAGGAGAAGACACAGAGAAAGGCATAGAAGGTTTATTTAAAGAAATGATCACTGAAAATCATCTTAATTTGGAAAACCAAGCAGATGTCATCCAGGAGGCTCAAAGGGTTGCACACAAAATAATACCAGACAGACCCACAAGGCACATCAGGACAGAGCCGCTGGAGGCCAAGACGAGGACCGGACACTGACATCATCGAGAGAAAAATGGGTCACCTCCAGGGAACCCCAGTCCGGCTGCCGTCGGATGCTCAGCAGAAACCTCACCAGCACGCGGGGGTGGAGGAGATATTTAAAGCACGTCAGGAAGAAGACTTCCTGCTCCGAACGCGCTCCCCCGGCAGGATTAACACCCAAGCCAGAAGGAAGGCCACGCGCTTCGCCCAACAGCAGCGACGGAACGAGGGTCTCAGCACCCAGGCGCGCGAGCAGGGGCTGCAGTGACAGACGATGACCGCGGGGAGACCGGACACGGGACGCTCCTACCTGGAGGAGGGGAGGGGGCACCTTTGTAGCCACAACAACGGGAGATCAGACCACCCATGGCTCACAAACAGTCCATCTCTCGGGAACCCGAGCAGAACCCGCAGACAGAAGCGAAGAGAACCCCAGCACGCAAGCCAGCTGCCGGAGGGCCGCGGCTTCGGGGCGAGACCCGCAGAAATAAGGCGAACAGAAGGCACATCACACGCACCCACGAACATCCCCTCCCGTGACACGACCCGTGATGCGGCACAAAGAGGCTTTGGGTGACACCCCGCGTGGCGAGGGCGCTGAGGTGGAGAGATGGGGAGGGGTGGGGCGGGGTAAAGGGGTGGGGTGGAGGAAAAAATGTTAACACACCCCTGAGGGAACAGTCGAGACTCTTGGACATGTCCACTGGGAGGACCCGCGCGAGGAGGCTGCAAGGACACTGGATGCAGAAACCAGATCATCAGCGAGTTTAGAGGAGACTGCGGGCGGGTCTGGGGGGCGTGGATGCCCCCTTCGTGCGCAGAAGATTCCATCGAGAGGATGCCGGGCGAGGCGTCCCGTCCCTCACTCCCTGGACACTGATGGGGCTCCGAAGATGACCAGTGGGAGACCAGAAAGGTCACCCTGCAGGGGGTCTGCAGGAAACTAAAGGAGAACCCCCCCCCAGGGAGAATATGGGAGACACGCCCTGCACACAGCTGAAGGACACGCCCCCAGGCAACAGGAAGGACACACCCTAGAAGGACACGCCCTGCAGGGTATATAAAGCCCTGCGGTCACACCCGCACCACACTCTGAAGGTGCAGGCCCTGGACGGCAGAGCAGCTGTGCTTCCGACCGCGTCCCGGAGGCCAAGCTGCGCTGCTGAAGGGGAACCAGCATCTCGGCCTTGGAGACACGGCACTGGCCCCTCACACAGCTGGGATCTGCTGTGCCCTAACCAGCTGTCCACGGGCAGATTTGCAGCGAGTCCCCACCTGCTCTTCCCAGAGGGGTCTCCAGGGTGCTTGTTCCTGGCCCCTGGGGAGCCCAGGCCAGCGCAAAGAGCAGAGGTGGGGCCTGTCTCCAGCCGCTGCCGTTGCAGAGCCCACGGTCAGGAGCAGAGGGAGGCCCAGCTAGACCCCGGCAGCTCCTGACCTCCTGGGAGCCTTCTCCGGCCACTCAGACGCCCCCCGCACCATGGCCCTGGCCGCCTCCCTGGCAGAACTGCAGGCAGAGGCCAGCTGCCCCGTGTGCCTGGACCAGCTACGGGACCCGGTGACCCTCGACTGCGGCCACAACTGCTGTGGGCCCTGCCTCCACCGGCGCTGGGAGGGCCTCCAGGACGTCCTCCCCTGCCCCGTCTGCCAGCACCCCTGCCCCTCCAGGGACGTCAAGAGGAACACCCAGCTGTGTGCCCTGACTGCCCTTCTGAGGCAGCTGCCCCCCACCCGCAAGCAGGGGCGGCGGCAGGAGGAGGGGGCCCTGTGTGCCCAGCACCACCAAGCCCTGGCCCTGTTCTGTGAGGAGGACCTGGAGCTGCTGTGCGCCCAGTGCGCGGCCTCCTCCCCCCACCGCGGTCACCCCCTGGCCCCCGTCGAGCAAGCCGCCGCTCGGCACAGAAAGGAGCTGCAAAGCTGCCTGGAGCCCCTGAAGCAGCAGCTCGAAGAGGCCAGACGGCGCTTAGCCGCCCAAGTGTCCATCACGCTGGACTTGAGCAACGAGGAGGAGGAGAGGCGGCGAGAGGCGCAGCAGGAGTTCGAGGAGATCAAGCGTTCCCTGCAGAAGGAGCGTGAGGTCCTGGAGGCCCAGCTGCGCAGCGGGGTGACCAGGGGCTGCCAGAGCGTCCTCAAGGGCAGAGGCCAGCTGTTGGAGCGCAGCTCCGCCCTCCAGCGCCTGCTCGGGGTCGTCACCGGGAAGAGCCTGCAGACAGACCGGGAGC